TATATATGTGTGTGTGTGTGTGAAAAGTGTGTGTATATAAACATATCTACACACACACACACACACACACACACATATATATATATATATATATATATATATATATATTATCATTTATATATTATATGCATGGTATTTATTAGAAAGCGATCAATATCAGAGATATAGCTAACATGTTTGGTTGGATGGATGTGAGTTTGTGATCCTGGGTTTCACGCTTTAGCGATCGTCAGACAAACTCTGACGATCGCAGAAGCATGAAACCCAGGGTCACAAACATCAATCCAACCATATATATATATATATATATATATATATATATATATATATATATATATATATATATATACAGGTGTCCATAAAGTTCGTGTGCACTTAAAATATATAACTTTATTTGTATTTGCGATAGAAATAATTTGTAAAAAGGATGAGAAAGAAGTAAATCTATATTTTTTAAGGTTTTATTGAAATTTTAATCAATTTTCCACATGTCCTCTATCATTAGCAATACAAAGGGTAATACGATTTTGCAGTTCACGGAAAACATTTGCCAACTGATTTACAGTAATTCCTGAAATCACATTAGTTATTTTAGCTATACTTAAAACTGGGTACATTAAACTTTATAACATTCTTTACAGATTATTTCTATCGCAAATACAAATAAAGTTATAATTTTTAAATTGCACACGAACTTTATGGACACTCTGTATATTGAATAATAAAAAAAATATCAAAAAATTAAAATCTTCAGACACATTGAATTTTATATTAATATTCTTTCGTTTTTATTATTATTTTATTTAGATTCCTCGACTAGTTTCGGCCAATATGGCCATCATCAGAAGAAAAAAATTTTGCTTGCTGGTAGCAGTGAACTACAGAAATGAATGTCTTGATGGAGAAAATGAACTTTTGTCTGTAGTTTTCATTTGTTTTTAATTTTTTTTTTATCATGGATTTTGGTCAGTCTTTGTGTTCGTCAAACAGTCTCTTTTAAGTTGTTATTTGAGATAAGAGCTAGATGGATTCATACTGCATATATATATATATATGTGTGTGTGTGAAAAGTGTATATAAATATAAATAAATATAAGTATGTATTATTATTTATATATTATATGCGCGGTACTTATTAGAAAGCGCTCAATATCAGAGATAGAGCTAACATATTTGGTTGGATTGATGTGAGTTTGTGACCCTGGGTTTCACGCTTTAGCGATCGTCAGACAAACTCCTGTCTGACGATCGCTAAAGCGTGAAACCCAGGGTCACAATCTCACATCTATCCAACCAAATATATATATATATATATATATATATATATATATATATATATATATATGTATTCATAGATGGGATAAGAGTGATCTTTTAAAAAAAAAAATCAACGTTCTTTGCCAAGTGTTCCTAGATATAGGACTCAAGATTATCCATTACAAAATTGAAACTATAATCTGGAATTGGAATGAAAGCATTAAATGCACAGAATTCATCATAAAAACCAGGTTATGGAATTAGTAAATACTAAACACTTTAAATACCTCGGTGTATGGATAATTTATTACAAATTTAGTATAGTCGATAAGTAAACTGAACATAGAATAGACTGCGTTAGAGATAGTTTCACACAACACCGCAAATTGCTACAAAACATTAATCTGAAAACATGAGTAATATTCTTAAATAGCCTTGTCAGAAATATCGAAATTGTCTGCTGTATGCAACCGCTTTCTCAGATTAATGGTTTAAATTTTTTTCGAGCGAATGAACCCTATAGGTTTTATCGAGGACCCTCTTTCATCAAAAGTGGGCTGGAGTTACAGTATCACAAACTTGTGGATTGGACTACAGAATCACAAATTCCAAATAACAGAAACCACATCATTTGAGTACTTTCAACATTGGCATCGACGAAAATGCATGCCACATGCAATTCGAAGAGAAGATAACGGCATAATCAAGACGTTGACATTCCACACTCCTTCAAGCAAAAGGTTAGGAAGGAAACCCCCATCGATACTGAAAAGAGTGATAATAGACCCGAGAAACCTATTCTCCTGAAAAATTGATTTAAAAGAAAGATTTTATAAATTTCAACCGGCAGTAGTACTGGCTGCTCGGTCAATGAATGTCAAATGTTTCTTTATAGGGAAAACGGCTAATGTAACGATTACCCTTTGTTCGAATACTACGTTCAGGACGCTGTTATCCCAGTAATTAGTGGGGCGTTGGTGTCTTTGCTACCGAAATTATATATTTAATGAAGCCTCGTATGCAATCGTTTCAGAAGTCTGCGTTACTTTCCACTGCAAATATTTTGCAGAAGATGTTATCTGTCTGAGTTTGTACGACTTGGTGATTTTTGTAATGTCAACAAATACTCGTTGACACTTTCGTAAATGCTCGTTGTAGTAGAGACTTTGTAATCGCAGATACAACTTTAGTAACGCCGTTGAACAATACTGATGTCAAACCCCTTCGAATATCACTCGCACTAATAGTACTTGCTCGATAATAATCGCTCGAAAAGTAACCACAGAATAGTAATCCGTATAGACAATAGTGTAGAAATAGTGAATAGTATAGAGAATAGCGAACCGTATAGTAATAGAGGATAGAGTAGAAATGGTGATCCGTATAGTAATAGAGGACAGACTAGAAATGATGATCATTTAGACGCCAAGCTAATTCTCATATTTACATTTCCTCTATGGTCACGTGATCAGCTTAATTCAATAATGGGATCGCCTGTGTTTGCTCACTGGCGATCTGTGTTCAAACTCAAGCGTAGGCAGCGACACTTTATACCTATATAACAGGGACGAAACCCCATAATGGTAAATTTACGGTTGATATCGCAGACCGTGCTAAAGAAAAATAATACTACTACTAATAAATCCATGAATTAATAATAAACACATAAAAATAAATTATGCCTTTTTATTGAATTGCTTCACATTATTAATAGTGTTACGATTAGATTAGGGGTCGTCGTTTGATGGTTCCGTGTATTGACGGACAAAAACTAAAAGTATTGCATTGGTTGAGAAAATAGATAAACAAAACGTGAGACAAAACGAGGTAGAATTTTTTATTCTATCGGGAAAATTTTGAGAATAATTCCTGCAAAAAGTGCTAACTCAAGTGGTGTTCGAAAGAGTTTCACTGTAAAAAAAAAAAAGCAAAATTGAATTCAATCTGTTGGTGAGATAGAGACTGAGTGATGCGCATTACTTTTAATCAATTCAGTCCAGAAAATGCAATAATCCCACTAAAACGCAAGAGGCTACTGGGAGTAAAAGATAATGAAAAGACAGAAGGAACCAGAAACCCAATACTAAACGGGAAACAGGGGATGAATTAAATCACTAATCCTGTTCAAAAGACCGGTGATGAATGGGAACCTGTCAATAGGAAGTCTAAGCAACGTGCCGCTACTATTGAAGCGCTTATTTTAGCGTCCTATCTCGACGACGACTGACAGTAAATAGAGAGCTAGGCTCTTGGGATTAACAGCACCAGGTTTTCTTTTTAGGCATCTCCAAAAGCTGAAAAAAAGGGTCGCTACTAACAGGGGGATCAAAGCATGCGTGCATAGTACGTACCGCCACGAAATCGCTAAAAATCATCATACCATGATGAAAATATGCTCCAAACATAATGAAAACATTATTTTCAAAACATAGTTTCAAAATCCTTATGTTATTTTTAAGAGGAAGGATCAATGTATGTTTTTTATATTTAAATAAATTTTTTACTCCTTTTTAGAACATTCGAAATTTTGATTTTTGCTCTTCATTTTCGTTGTTATTCTTTTCGTTTAATTTATCAATTTTTTCAACGATTTTCTCCTGAGATGTTGGACGAAAGAACCTTAGGGACTATTACCATTAATAAATTCCTTGTTTTTAAAACAGTGTACAGATTTTGTACCTCTAAGCATTTGTTTATATATATATATATATATATATATATATATATATATATATATATATATATATATAAAGAAAGAACAGTAAGATATATAATCCGGTGTTCTTATAGATATTTTATTTTTACAAAATAGTGCTCAATGTAAATTTACAGAGCATTAATATTATAAATTAATTGATTTAAAATATGTTTTTTTCGTTACACAGTTCTAACCATGTTTCAAAAATGGAAGGTCCTAATTTAATTTTGTAATTAAATTAAAGACATTAGTTCCATTTCATCCTCAAGCGAATTTTGGAGTAACTTTTAAAATTACTGGGTTTTAAAGACAGCTAAAATCATAATTCACGTTTCCAAGGTTACAGATAAATTCCACTAGACAGGGGGTGTTTGCGTGTTCATTATGTCGGTATTTTGATGTACCCGTTATTAGTTACGTCTATATATATGTAAAGTCATCTACAGACAGACTGTTTCGCAGCTCTTCAGTATGGATAAGACATCCGGTTGCCTCTATCTAGGATCGAAATCCGACTGAATTGGTGTTAGTCGGAGATTCTACCACTAAGCCGTCGGCTGAAGGCGAAATTTAGCGTATTTATTTTTAGACAAACACACAGTGACCGACAGTGACTCAATTCGGTTTTGCCGAAGAGTCTCGCTATATCATCCCTAATAGTCACTGTTTACAAACCCACGCCTCTTTCCCAGAGAGCTCAACTGAAATTAATTTTCCAGGAGCCAATATAAAGTCATCCACAGACAGTATATATATATATATATATATATATATATATATATAAAATGTGTATTTAGGCAGCAATCCTTCTTTCATGTAAATTTCATTAAATTTGACAGACAAGGTGCTTTGATTAAGCATTTAACATAATTTTTCATGAGATCTGATAATTTTCTTTTCTTTTCAGTAGATAAATTATATAAAAACTGCCCAAATGTTTTTTTTTTCCCGAGTGCTTTAATCATTTCATACTTTTTGATAATACAAGTATAATTATCAAAATTCAATTTATTTGTTAAAAAATATCTAGTGATAAATTACCAACCATTTCGATTATTTTCCAAAATCCACGTTTCGTCTTCATCAAAGTGAGCATCTCCTTCAATTGGCTTCATGTTCGTTTCTGGGAAATAGGCGTGCGCCAGGGTACCACCCGGACCGTCAAAGGGAACCCCATCGCCATGTTCGCCGGAGACAAACTCTACGACGATATCTGCTGAGTCGTCATCCACCTGCTTAAAGGTCAACTTGGACACATCAGCCCATACCTGCAAATCGAAGAAGCCTTTTATCAGATCATTAAACAGTATTACATCTAAATTAATTGAATACATTATTTTTTTTTAAATAATTCCACTCAAGCAAGGCAATAAAGCCACTAAGACGCAGGTGTGTACTGAGTATGAAAAATATAAAAAGAAAACAATATTAAGGAGAGGGAACAGTAAAAGAATGATTAAGAAGACAGATTACATTCAAATTTTTGAAGATGAAGAGCAAGAAGCTGGAAGGGCAATAGAAGAAACTGTTAGCATAGAACATGCGGTTACATCTAACAATTTCATTTGTAATATGATGTGCCCTTTTCGCTAATCTAGTACTGCGTTTAAAATCATAAATTCTTGGTACTATAGAGGAAAGTACATCAGAACAATTACCATGAAAATATTCATAGATACAGACAGAGGGTATATACATTACGACTTTGGCAATGTGACTGAAGACGAGATATCAGGTCAGCACCAATAACATTGCAGATTCATCTTTGGAATTTATCAAGAATATATAAACACAGAGCAAGAGAATTAAATCATAAGTGCAACAATATTCAAATGATGGACGAATCATAGACTAATAATAAATTCTCAAGAACGACACTATGAACCAGCGTTCCTAACAGCAGGCGTAGCAACTGATTCAATATTATCTTTCTACTTTATATCACTGGAAAACTTTAACCCGAGGAGGCGCATTGGTCATGCTAACCTCTCTGATGGAAGGTGAAAGGGTTCTTTCAGACGATTTAATAGAGATCAATTTTCTTTTGGAGGCATTAAAATTAACAAGCCATTCCTTGCCCCAGTTAACAACAGAATGTAGGATCAGCTGCCAATTTGACTTTATCGAACCGATCAGACTTACTATTAAGCCAGGATAAATAGTTGTAGAAACCGAGCTGCCGATGACCGCCCTGGGTATGAATATAACCTGCGTCCAACAGCAAGACCTCTGATCAAGAAGTTTTGATGATCGTGGAACCACTTCTTAATTGCTGGCGTTCCCAGGTTCGTCCTGATCCGTGGTGGTAGCAACTGTTAGGGTCCCAGCTATGGGCAAATAGTTGACACCCAAACTTGTGTAAAAATAGGTTTTAATACCAGAAATACTTTGTAATAAAAAAAATATTACCAGCAATAATTTTTTAAGGAAAAATTATTATTAGCAATACTTTAAAAAATACCAGCAATACAAACAGCTATACATTCTTTGAAAAAAAATATGACCAGCTATAGATTTCTTCAAGGAAAAATATTCCCAGAAATAGATTTTTGAAGAAAAGCATATTACCAGCAATAAAAAAAATTGTCGGCATTAAATAACCCATTGAAGTTGATATGCCGTAAAACAAACCAAACCAAACGACATGCCGATGAGAATTGAACTTACACCCAGAGCCTTTGAAAATCGTCTTACAGGGGCAATATTTGAAACACGGAATCTTCTTCTTCTCTTATATACAATGTCCTTTCAGGACAAGATCGAAGACGGCTCTCCACAGCTTCTTTTTGCTCTAAGTAACTTTTGCTCCTTTATTACTAGTCTATGTTTATACAAAGCTTCTTGGCCAGTCATGGTTCTTATCTATGGTCATTTTCACATTTCATCCCTCCGACTTATTTCTACGCTATATTGTTTGTTTACTACTACTACTACTACTTAATTATTATTATTATTATTAGTAGTAGTAGTAGTAGTAGTCGTAGTAGTAGTAGCTAGTTAATAGTCTGAGATTCTGAGATGAGGAAAGTTAATAAAATATAATAAAAGATCCAGTGCAGTTCACAGTGATTCAATAAATTGAGACAAAAGTGATAATGATCCTTCAGGACGAAGGCAATAACGGTTCTCCACAGCTTCTTTTACTTTATTGCTCTGAGTAACTTTTTATATTTTACTATTCCTTTAACTCAATTCATACAAACCTTCATGTTTAAGCTGAATTCTCTTTAATGGTTTTTAAAAACTTCTTCCTTTCTATTTCTTCCACGCCATATTGTTTGTTTACCAATGCTTCTTCTTCTTCTTCTTCTTCTTCTTCTTCTTCTTCTTCTTCTTCTTCTAATTATTATTATTACTCAATTTAGTAGTAGTAGCAGTAGTGATCGAAAGATAGTTTAAGATTCTGAGATGATGAAAGTTAATCAAAACATAATTCATCCTGTTCAATTCACAGAGTTTTACTACATTGAGACGAATGTGATATCTTTTATCAAAACATGTCCACCCGGAACGTTGGCCATTATGGCTATCCACAGCTTCCTTGTTCTGTCATCCATACACAAAAGATCTTCAGGTTTGTTACTCGCAGTTTCTTCTTTGCTACTCTTGCATTCTTATGTGTCTTTAATTCTCTAGGCCTCCTTTTCTCATGTGTCCCATAAATTTCATCTGAATCTTTCTTTTTGTTCCTATTTACCTGAGACTTCCACATTGCTCGTATGTAATGTTCCTGGTATTCTTAATATTCGGAGGTAGAACACCATCTCTTGTCTTTGCTCTTCATCGTTGAAGTGATTATATACTGTATAGAAACTTTGTTTCTACCAGCATTTTTCTATGTCTTATTACTTTGCTTAATTTATGGAAGGCATCTTTGGTTCTTCCTATGAATCTTTGAACATCAGACAACAGTCAACTTTTCCGATAACAGTTACGACACATCTCAGATACATTTCTGAGCTTGCTTGATACTGACGTCCCCAGGCCAGTGTCTTTTGTTGATAAAAATGTATTTGGTTTTCTTAAAGCAAATTGTTAAGCCAGTGTTCGTGCTTTTCGTCAGTAGTAATTTTGGTGATATTGTTTGATTTATATGCGATGTATTTTTGTATTGGGGCACCAGTTTATAATATCACCGTATGGCATAAAATCCTGCTCTTACACGGTACTAATTCATAATGCCATTGCTTGGTGTATTATTGTGGTCTAACACGACACCAGTTTATAATACCACATTCTATGCCAGTAAGCTGGTCTAAAAAAGCACCAGTCTATAATACACAGCCTGGTGTATTATCCTGGTTTAAAAAGGCACCAGTCTATAATCCACTGCCTGGTGTATTATCCTGGTCTAAAACGGCACCAGTCTATAATCCACTGCCTGGCGTATTATCCTGCTCTAAAACGGCACAAGTCTATAATCCACTGCCTGGCGTATTATCCTGGTCTAAGATAGAACTAGTATATATTGCCACTGCCTGGGGGTAGTATCCTGTTTTAACAGAGCACCAGTTTATAATATCACTGCCTAGTGTATTATCCTGGTCTAACACGGCTCCAATTTATAATGTCTCTGTCTGGAGTATTATCCTGGTCTATAACAGCACCAGTCTATAACGCCACTGGATGGCGTATTATCCTGGTCTAAAATGTCACCATTTTATAATGCCACTGCCTGGTGTAGTATCCTGTTTTAACATAGCACCAGTCTATAATCCACTGCCTCGCGTATTATCCTGGTCTAAAACGGCACTCGTCTATAATCCACTGCCTGGCGTATTATCCTGGTCTAACACGGCACCAGTTTCTAATAATTTCTAATACCATTTACCGTGTAGTAGCTTGGTCTAACACGGCTCTAGTTTATAATGTCCCTGCCTGGCGTATTATTCTGGTCTAGCACTCCACCTGATCATAATACCAATGCCTGGTTTTGTATCTTGGTCTAATGCGACACCAGTTTATAATATCCCTTTTTCTCCGACCCACAGTCACTATGGCCTTCTGGCTGTCTCTTCTGGCTTCCATTTATAGTCATGTTCTATGGTTTAGATTCTAAAGATGAAGTATCGGGCAAATCTCTTAGTTCTCTGGAACAAGATGAAGTCGACCGTCCTAGTTGGATTACAGCTGCATAATAAATAATGACCGACAAGGACTGTCAAACTCTCTTCTCATAAGCTATAACAAGTTGGCTTAATTTGATGTCACCAATACTCCCTTGTGTTGATCCTGCCAGTCTAAATATTAGCTACAATAATATGGCACGACTGATTCATCTAAATTATCTGTCAGGCAAAGTAATTTGCGCTGGGAACCGCTACGATTCGGTACAGTCTGGCAAAAGTTCCTGAGTTTTGATGACTTCTGAGTTTGGATCATCCCAGTAACGTTTATAATAATTTTGGAGGATTAAGTTTATTATTAAAGAACAAGGGAAAAACAAACACCCATTTTATACTCAGTAGAAGTTTAAATTAATAATACAAGAAAATGTTGATAAGATTCTAAAACTAAGCCGTTTCCCCAAATCGAACGAAATGGATCAAACGTCAGAATATATTTTTTAGAATCAGTTATTTAGAGCAACATCTTTGTGATTTCACGAGCAACCATCCATCTATACATACTTCCAACTACCTGTCTGATCATCTATCGAAATGTATATTTGTTTATATTCTGCGCGAAATTGATTCAATAAATTTAGAACGATTGGCTGTTTTTTTTTCAGTTTACATCGATCAACCTGTATACCTTTCAATTAGTTTATTTCTTTTTTTCTTTCTATTTATATCAGTCTGTTCATATCTATTTCAATATTATCTATATAAGTGAATGTTATCTGTGTCAATTTTTCTGTCTATATAATTCTATTCATATCTATCTATCTATCTATCTATCTATCTATCTATCTATCTATCTCAGTCTATTCATATCTATCTATCTATCTATCTATCTATCTATCTATCTATCTATCTATCTATCTATCTCAGTCTGTTCATATCTATTTCAATATTTATATAAGGGAATGTTATCTGTATCAATGTTATCTATCTATCTATATTTCTATTCATATCTATCTATCTATCTATCTATCTATCTATCTATCTATCTA